TTATGTTATGTTATGTTATGTTATGTTATGTTATGTTATGTTATGTTATATTATGTTATGTTATGTTATGTTATGTTATGTTATGTTATGTTATGTTATGTTATGTTATGTTATGTTATGTTATGTTATGTTATGTTATGTTATGTTATGTTATGTTATGTTATGTTATGTTATGTTATGTTATGTTATGTTATGTTATGTTATGTTATGTTATGTTATGTTATGTTATGTTATGTTATGTTATGTTATGTTATGTTATGTTATGTTATGTTATGTTATGTTATGTTATGTTATATTATGTTATGTTATGTTATGTTATGTTATATTATGTTATGTTATGTTATGTTATGTTATATTATGTTATGTTATGTTATGTTATGTTATGTTATGTTATGTTATGTTATGTTATATTATGTTATGTTATGTTATGTTATGTTATGTTATGTTATGTTATGTTATGTTATGTTATGTTATGTTATATTATATTATTATGTTATATTATCAAACTATAATAGCATCTCAGTGATACAGAGATAACACTGTTCTGTTCTCAAATTAGGTTTACCTTGATTTTTCTTCTTTGTTTTCAAAGATGCAGGAAGTATATTGTAAGTACAGTCAGCTGGTTATTAGTGCAAAATAAACCAGGTCAGGGTGATCGATGAAGGAGAAGTTTATGGGTTATCTGGTTTCTTGTGTCACACTGTTCATCCTGCATATTTCACCGCAACATATACCAAATACATACATATATTCATGAAATTGAATAAGGTTTATAATGTTTGTAATGTGTGTGCACGAATGGGTTTAGAAAGTCAGGGCTTTGTCTTCTCATGACAAGGAAGGGTTAACATTCTTCATGCCCATCCCACACAATATACAGTGGTGGAGCCCAACAGCCAAGGGCCAATGATGACCACCAGACTACTTACCTCGCTGAACACTCTCACAACACACAGGAGATCACATCTCTACAATGACAGACAAGTCTCTCTTTAACAGATCTCCAAATTCATCTTCAATCGAGGATAAGAGACCAAGAATCTGAGAAATGGAAGAGTGTCATCTATGATGGGTAAAGAAAACTCAATTGTCATCTTTCAGTATTTTTTATATATGTTTTTACTTTAAAAAAGATTATAGGGAAGTGGATTTTACTTAAAAAAAATTGAATCTGTCTATAAATGCAAATATAAGTGTATCCAGATATTCCTTAAATTAAGCTCAGCTAAAACAAACTATCGATCATACTCAAACAGATGAATCGCTGATGGGCACAACAGCATCAGAATAACAACAGCTTTAACACAACAAAGCATTAATGGCTGCAAATGTCACTTCTCTGGACCTCAATTAGACCGTCATGTCCTGAAGAGAAACAGGAGCTTTCTGGTGAGCTGAAGTTCTGGAAAAGGTCAGAGGTCTTGGGTTAAGCATGGTGTCAGTGGAGGTCTCTGCGGCTTTTGTGTTGTGCTGTGTGCTGATGAAAGCCAGAGCTCTGGTGAGTATTTCACTATACTGACATGCCAGTTTGCACAGATTTGTCTAGACTTTACCTTGTGAAAAAGAATGCGCTCAACTGTATCAAATGTGCATGTGTACTTCACTTATTTGATGTGCGAGTTAATACATTTTCATTGTACTACGTTGCAACTTCAAGATTAAAAATGTGCAGGTATCAATAAAAATGACATTAAAAACATATTTAGGTTTACTATTAATGCGTGTCAGTACATTCGGCAGTACACTTTAACCATATTTCAAAAACAATAAAAGTAATCATAATATTACATATAGAATTGTACTTAAGCCTATACTTAAGTGGGTCAAAAACACTGACACACAGTTCGCACTTAAGTCCATTCTTATAAAGTATATAATTTCTGTTATAATAATAATTCAGTACCTGAATATATGAACTACTTGTTTATTTGGTTAAGACAATCTGTTAGTTTTAAAGGTTCCTTCCTATTCGTTCTTGTCTCTATCAATATTTACCAATTTTGATTCAGAGAATTGCCTAAAAACTACTTTAAGTATATCAGTATATGTGAAATTAATTGTGATAAAGAATGAAACCAAATTAAGTGCAAATATACTGTATGTGAATATGCAAACAGTTACCTAAACTATCAGATCAACATAAATTAATACAAAAAATATATAGACTTAATCGACAAATGTTATTAATGACTGTGCATGCTCTTTTGGAGATATCTGTGGTGCTTTTAATCTTCTCTAATGTGACTCAAATGTAAATGGATTTTTACTTTAAATCCCGTTTTGAATTCAGAATTCAGGGTCATTGACTGGTTGAACACATGTGATCACCTTCTGTTGATCAGCTTTCCCAACTGTCTAGTTGAATCAATGTCTCATCAGCCACACAAGTAGATTTATTTGGTTTGATTGGTCCATGAGAAGACTGCAGACAGGGCTGTGTGTGTGAGATTCCCCAGCCAAGAAATCACTTGAAAGGGAAATTGAAAGAGAAATGACTGCGAAGGGAAAATTACCCTTTTCACCTTTCACTTTTTTTCACATTTTTGTTAGGTATTATACACTGTAAAAAAAATCTGTAGTTTTTACAAAATAATTTTGGCAGCTGTGGTTGCCAGAATAATTTTGTAAAATATACAGAAAAACTGTAAACACACTTACGGCCTAAAATGTAATTGTACAGTATAAAACTGTCATTTACAAACAAGAAAATTGGAATGTAAACCAGTAAATTCAACAATGCACACTGCTATTAAAATCTGTTTTGTATCTTTAACATACTGACAACCACCATAATAATGCAGGTGGTAAAAGAGAAAGCCACATGAAGAATCAAAGCTCATCACAAGTAGCTTCGCCACAAGCAGAAGTATATACTAATATATAGAAGGTGCACAGAGTCATTCATGCAAACACAAAACACCATCATGGTAACACACATGATACTTAAATAATGCATTCAACTTTCATTAAACAACAGAAGATGTAACATAAAGCCCAAATATACATAACTAATAACAAAAACTATTAAAAAAACATGATTATTTAAACAAAATACTTTCAAATGTGGAGTGTCATGCAGGGAATTCTGGGAATATCAGTTTACAGTTTTTGACTGTAAATTATACATTGATTTGTTATTTTTACTTCTAAAAACTGTAAAATTAACAACATTTTACTGTAAAATTACATGAACTATCTGGTTAGATACATGATATTTAGTTTTTCCCTGTAGATAGTACGGGAATTTACTGTTAACCTATTTTACAAAATTTTACAGTTAAAATTACACTTATTTTTTACAGTGCACCCATGTTTGTTTATTTATTTATCTATTTTCTTATGCATGCAGGTATTTTCATTCTTAGAGGTGTGTGTTGCTGTATTTTGTATGGCAGATGAAAGTAACAGCTATTATTGCAAAAGAGAGTATACTGCTATCTTAAATCTGTTTTTTAATAACAAATTTGCTTTTAAAGTAGGCTATGTGGTTAGTCTGTGTTTAGTCTTATATTTAATTCTCTTTTAAAGGCACATACAACATGTTTAAACTTCTAGGAAATAAGGGAAAAAAATTTGTTCATACCATATTTTACAGTTTTTCCCTGTAGATAGTACGGGAACTTACTGTTAACCTATTTTACAAAATTTTACAGTTAAAATTACACTTATTTTTTACAGTGTAGGTAGAAAAAGTATATTAGTCTTTTGCTTAAAGTGGTATCCAATGGTATCAGCAAACTACAAATGTGAAAGCTCAATTCTTCTAAGACATTTTTTCCCGAAATTTAGCTTGGGCACAAAGAAAAGTGTTTTTTTCCCCCTTTTTTCTCAGGACTGTGCATGTCCTATATTTCTTGCTATTGAGGAAATGAAAGTGTATCTCTTTGTTTGTCCTGTCAGCCTCCGAAAGAATGACTGGCTAATGCATGTACATGTTCAATGAAGCAGAAAATGAGTCTGTCAGTGAGAGATGAATGCTCGATAAACAGACAATTTAGAAAGGGAATTAACATGACCCAGAGAAGCACTATTGATCAAGAGCACTGCCATGCCACTAATTGCATTTTCACTGGAGAACACAGGTGTTTAACATCCTAGTGAAATGATCTTCAGAAATATTCAGATATATTTTTAGATTATTCTGCAAGTTCAAAAGTTTACTTCTCGACTACTGAAATAGAATAACCCTCTTCAAACATGAATTAAATGTGTAATGAAATAAACCCGCACTTATGTCTATCAGATGACATCCTTACAATTGTTTTAACACTGGGCGGTCACACAAACCAATTATTACCAATCAATGGCAATAGATTGTATGAGAGTGTGGTTCATTAATGCCTATGTTTTTCAGGGGTAAAAAAAACACAAATCAAATGAGACGGTTGGTTAATTGACTTTTTGCAGTTTTAGTGAAATGATTTCACATGTAATTTCACTTGCTCCCTTAAGGACTAATGTGAACTGTAATGATGATGCTGTGATTATAATGTTATGTTTGTGCGTGCATGAAATTGTAAAGCATTTTGGTATTGCATTTGTAATTAGAAATTTTGAGTGTGGTACAATTTAAGAGAAAAAGCGATATACATTTTGTGATGCTTTTACAAACACACACACACACACACACACACACACACACACACACACAGGTTTGTTTTTGTGAATTGTGGGGGCATTCCATAGGCGTAATGGTTTTTATACTGTACAAACTGTATTTTCTATTGCCCTACACCAACCCTACACCTAAATCTACCCCTTACAGGAAACTTTCTGCATTTTTAGATTAAAAAAAAACTAATTCTGAATGATTTATAAGCCTTTTGAAATATGGGGACACTCAAAATGTCCTCATAAATCACCTTCTCCTTGTAATACCTGTCATACCCATGTCATTATACAAATTTGTGTCCTCATAAATCACAAAAATGCACGCGCACACACACACACACAAATAAATACATGTATACACAAAATTATTTTCAAAAATACATTCACAATATCATATTTCACAACTATTATTTACATATTTTTTTCTTTTTTTTTAAAGGCAATTATTACTGTTATATTGCTCAAATTTAGGGTTACAAATCTGAACAAACCCAAAGTATTAAACTTTGGCTAGTAATTCATTCCCAACTCTGTGTGCTACAACTGAACAATCCCTGAAATCCCGCGGCTTGTAGAGCGATGATATGCTATTGTTTATCTAAGTGACTGGACAATTTGGTGTAAAGCATGAACTTACATTGAAGGAGGGATGCAAGTCCTATAGAGACCAGAATATCTTTTTCTTCTTCTTCTTATTCAATAAGAAAACAAACAGGGTCAAATCTGATTTCATCTTGACTTTAATTGTAATTTGTTTAGTTCCCTGCGGTGAAATATGGCCATATCATTATGATGTCTGCTTATCTGTACACATTTGTGAAAATGTAAGATTTTGCATGGAATCATTTTTTTACTTTAATCTTGCTATAAGTTCATTATTAGTAACATGAAACAACAACAACAAAGAAAACTATGATATATTATCATAAAAGTAACTTATCATAGATGTACATGTTTGGGTGTTCAGGGTGGTTGTTAGGAGGTTGCTCATAAATTCTGATCAAAAGTGCTAATTTTCAAGTCTCTGTGGTATTCTGGTCTCGAGATTTAGTTAAGGTCTTTTTTTTTAACATGAAATCATATATTTGATCACTTGGAATGAACATTGGTTCTCAACAATTCTTTCTTTCTTTTTTTCTTTCTATTTCTAATTGCCAGTGTGTGAGTCTGAGGTTTCGTTTGGTGGTTGTGAATGTATTCAGGGCACAAATGCTTCTGTGTTTAGTCGTGAGGACCCAGAGATCAGGGCTCATAATATGGGACAGCGGTGAGGGATGGCCATGGGTGTGGGGTGTGTAAGGTTGGATATGCTCTCTCATCCTGAAGGTTGAAGAGAGCTCGTCACATACCACAGGACTGTGCAAATATTTCACAACACTGAGAGACAGCACATCAGCCTAAAAGAAGGTGTGCTAGATGTGGTGATAGATGGATGATATGTCAATGATTTCAGCTGAGATTGTGGAAAATGATAAACCAACACTTATATGCATAGAAACTAAGGGAGCTCGTTGTTATTCTTTTGCGGTCCCACATGTGCAGATGAAATGGTGAACCAACTATGGGGGTAGAATTGTTGCTTAATTCCAAATAAATAGATTATGATCCACAAATAAATAGAATGAGATCCACAAATAAATCTTAAAGTTTCACAAACATGAATTAAATTCACAAATAAATAAAATGAGATTTGCAAATAAAAAACATATTCACAAATATATATTTATGTCACAACCACAACTTTGCCTGGCATTTATTTGTGAATCGCGTCCTGTGCATTTGTAGATAGCTGCACGC